TGATCACATGTTTGCCTACTTTCCACTGGAAATGTAGCTTTTGCTAGATTACTTGCTCAAATCATAAAATAACGAGCACAATTCCCCAATTACTCAATCACGACTATTCGTCTTGACAATGCTTGTGAAATTAGATTACAAACATTAGATGATTATTGCATGTCAATTGTGATTATTTTTGAACATTTACTTGCGTATGTCCATACACAAAATTGTTCAGTGGAGTCATTTATTAAACGTCTACAACTTATTGGTAGAACATTACTTATGAAAACAAAACTCTCACCTTTTGTTTGGGGTCGTGCCATATTACATGCTGCGTCATTGGTTCGTATCAGACCAACTGCATATTATCAATATTCACATTTGCAACTGACAATTGGTCATGAATCTAATATTTCTCACCTACGAGTTTTTGATTGTACTGTTTAAGTCCTTGTTTCACCCCCACAACGGATTAAAATGGGTCTCCAACAAAGACTTGAGATTTATGTCGATTTTCATTCACCATCTATTATTAGGTATGTTGAACTTTTAACAAGTGATTTATTTACTGCATGTTTTGTAGATTGTCATTTTGATGAAATGACTTTCCCACTTTTGGAGGGGAAAAAGTACATCTTGATAAACAAAGTAAAATTTCTTGGAATGAAACAATTATATCTCACTTTGATCCCCACAATAATCAATCTTAGCAAAAGGTTGAAAAAATCATTCATTTACAAAAGAGTCGTAAATCAATTACCATATGTATTTGTTGACACAACAAAATTGACAAAATCATATATACCAACAGAAAATATTCCAGCAAAAATTGACGTCCCTGCAGGACAATTTGTTATAGCAAATGAATTTTAAATACGCCGAAGAATGGTTGACCAATTGGTTCAAAAGACTCTGTACCTCGAAAAAAAACTACAAGAGAAAAGCCAACATAAAAACTTTAGAAGAAATAACATTAGAAAAGATTGATCAATCAAATATTGAAAATATGGTTTCTGAAGAACCACAAGTGTCCGAAAATAATGAGATTTCAATAAATTATATGTTATCTCATAAATTATGGGAAAGAAATAATATTGTTATAGACACTATTTTCGCCTTTAACGCGGCTCTTGATATTATGCAAAATGAGAATCTTGAATCACAGTCTGTTAAATACTGTCAAAATAGAAATGATTGGCTAAAGTGAAAAGATGTCATACAGATGGAACTAAATTCCTTAGAGAAATGGAAAGTGTTTGGACATATAGTTCGAATACCTGAAAATGTAATCCATGCTAATGCTAGATACAAATGAGTTTTTGTACAAAAGAGAAATGAAAATAATGATATTACAAGATACAAAACCCTACTCGTAACCTGAATGTTTCTTACAATGACCAAGAATTGAATATGATGAAACATATTCTCCCGTAACGGATACAATTACTTTTAGATTATTAATTAGTTTGACTGTGTCACAAATGCTCGATATGCACTTTATGAATGTAGTAACTACCTACTTGTATGGTTCACTTGATAATGACAGATCTATGAAAGTCCCTTAATGATTTAAAGTGCGAGAAATTAATGATATATATCTAAGAACTACGTTCTCAATTAAATTGTAAAGATCATTATATGGATTGAAACAATCCTGACGCATGTGGTATAATCATTTCAGCGAATATTTGTTGAATGGAGGCTATAAAAATGACGATATCTGCCCATGTTTCTTAATAAAGAAAACAAATATTGAATAAGCGATTGTGGCAGATTATGTTGATAATTTAAATTTAATTGGAACTTTTGAAGAGTTCAACAATACTACAAATTATTTGAAAGATGAATTTGAGATAAAAGATTTGGGAAAAATCAAATTCTGTCTCGGATTGCAGATTGAACATTTTCCAGAAGCATTATTTGTTCATCAATATACATATACAGAAAAAGTCTTAAAACGATTTTATATTGATAATGCACATCCATTGACATCACCTATAGTTGTTCGATCACTTGATGTGAAAAATAATCATTTTCGTCTACTTGAAGATAGAGAAAAGATTATTGGTTTTGAAGTACCATATCTTTGTAAAATTGGAGTATTAACTTATCTTGCAAACTGTACTCGACCCGACATAGCTTTTTCTATAAATTTGCTTGCAAGATATAGCTCTACACCAACACAAAGAAATTGGAACGGTGTTAAACATATTTTTCGTTACCTTAAGGGTACTATTGTTTTGAGATTATTTTATTTTCAAAAGTTTGGATTTGCTTTAGTGAGATATGTAGATGCAGGTTATCTCTCTGACTTATTTACAACTAAATCACAAATAGGATAGGTGTTTACACGTGGATGAACAACTATATCATGGAGATCTGTGAAGCAATCCTTGATAGCAACATCTTCAAATTATTTTGAAATTATTGCAATCCATGAAGCATGCCGAAAATGTGTATGGTTGAGGAACATGACACATCATATTCAAGCATCATGCAGATTAATTTCAATAAAAGATAGTGCTGCTTGTATTGCACAACTTAAAGGATGTTATATCAAATGTGACAGGACGAATCATATTTCTCCAAAATTCTTTCATAAACACGAGTTTCAGAAAAATGACATCAATATTCAACAAATTCGTTCAAGTGACAATGTGGCTTATTTATTTACAAAAGTAATGTCAACATCTACATTTAAGAAATTAGTTCACAAGATTGGAATGCGTCGACTCAAAGATTTTCAGTGATTAATATAAGGGGAGTAGATGTACTTTTTTTCCTTAACTTATGTTTTATCCCATTGGGTTTTTCTAACAAGGTTTTAATGAGACAGCATCTATTTTTAATATTCCAAAAT